CTGCTTTATACGGATAATGCGATCAATGATGAAAAGCAACAATTTTCCAACTGACCTACATAAAGAAATTGTTTTGGCTTTTCGTCTTTTGAAGGATGGGTTGGAATATGGAGAATGAGATCTCAAACTGATTTTAATTCCCATTGTTACTTATGGTCGGCATATTATTTTATTACAAGACAGACGTCGTGTCACATATGTTACAGGTGCAGTGATTGTATCAATGCTAAATAGCGGGTCACGACAGTTTTTTTACAACAATAGAATGAGTCTATCAACTATATGGACCTCCAGATTGTCTTATGGTAGATCCCCAAACTATATCATAACATACATGATTCTTTATGGTGTATAATGTGTAACTGTTCTTGTACCAAATTCTTCTGTGCAAAAAACATAATGTCGTTGAAGCCGTCTTTAAACAATACAATCTATAGCTGAAGCTGAAGAATTCAAACTGAAGCTGAAGAATTCGAACTACACCAGCCAATTTATAGACGATACAAACATGGACAGAAATGCCCTGGGGGGGGGGGGTTCCGATCGAACTCGACGGAGTGAGCTACTTAAGAAGTGAGTGGGTCTGCTGCCTAATGACAAATGCATGCTCATAACTACCCACCAGGATGCATTGATTCGTTGTCTAAAACGTCTTTAAAGTTTCTAGAAGAGGAAGTCGAAGGAATGTTTAAAACTGAAAGGAAATTACCTGGCTCATGTCTTGAAAGTTGTGTTGACAGAAGTCATTATGAAACAAGTTTGAACTGCAATATCCAAAACTACAAATTTGACTTACCCAACCATCCCTCAACAGAGACGGGGGCCGCCACAGACTTTCTGCAGCCTAAGATCAACTGCTCACGGAGTCATGAGTGCTATCTGCGTGACGTCACCGAAGCGGTGGATTGCTCATTCCTTGACAAAAACTGGAGTTGTACAGTCGAAAATTTGGGCAAGTCCAAGTTCTTGTGTTGGAGTTCAAAGTTTTGTTATACCTGGCTCATATTTGTTCATTATAAAGGCTTGTGGGTGATTATATTTCGCCGTACACGATACGTAAAAAAGAGTTAAAACTTCTTCTTATACTAATTAAATAAGGTAGTGAGATTTAAAAATCTCACTATAGAGCCTTTCGATAGAATATAAGCCCTGCTTCGTGTCTCTTCTGTCGTTCAATTCATCATGGTGGTTAGAAGGAGGCGTTTCCGTGATTCGTATTAGCTAATTAGACCATTATGACCTTGGGGCAAGCAATGTTCTTGTCTGTTGACCTCAATTTGGCCAAACGTCTTCCTGCCTTAAACCGCATCTAAATTTTCGATTTTGAAATCCTTCGAGATTTTCTGACATCCAGGTTTCCAATTTTGAAATCCTTCAAGATTTTCTGGCATCCAAATTTTCGATTTCAAATCCTTCAAGATTTTCTGGCATCCAGATTTCCGATTTCAAATCCTTCAAGATTTTCTGGCATCCAGGTTTTCAATTTTGAAATCCTTCGAGATTTTGTGGCATCCAGGTTTCCAATTTTGAAATCCTACGAGATTTCCAAATTTGAAATCCTTCGAGACTTTCTGCCATCCAGGTTTCGTCTGTTGTTAACCATCTGTAGGAAAAATGTTACGTCAGCTTGTTTAACAATGGTATAACGTTACTGAACTATGAAATAAAAATGATAATACTAGGCATCTATGTTTTTAGTTTCAAAACAAACCGCTGTAATTGCCAATGGGTAGAATATTCTTTATTCAATATAGCAAATGCAGTATCTTTGAAATATTATTTGCTACCAAATTCAAGAGGACAAAATGCCGAACATTACACTACGAACGATACATTTCAATAAATATAGGGTGTACGTAGAAACTAAAAGATATCTCTCAATGTTCACTAACTGTAAATGTTCGATTCATTGTTCTATTTTCCTTGCACGTAATGCCATTTCCCTTAGGTGACAGGTTTTCTATTTCAAAAACCATTGACAGTTAAAAAGAATGACACATTCTGTTGTTTTCTAGCCTCTACCAGGCTTGAGGAGGCGGCTGGAAAGAGTAGAAATCGGCCAAAATAGAGAGATAAGCATGCCAAGGGTGTTTGGCCGTTGAGAGAACAGTTCGCCGCCCCACTGTTCTCTCAACGGCCAAACTCCCTTATCAAGCTTATCTCGCTATTTTGGCCGATTTCTACTCTTTCCAACCGCCTCCTCAAGCCTGGTAGAGGCTAGTTGTTTTCTGCACTTTTAGCAATTGTGAGAAAGAGGACTGTAATTGAAGACACCAATACCAGTGGACATGTTCCCTGCTGTAGTGCTTGCACAACTCTGTGGGCTGTGGCCCACTGTTTGTTGAAGCGCTCTATAAACCGACACGCGCTTAACATTTAACTACAGACGAACTTCCTCGACAGTTTGACTCGACAGTAATGCGAGTGACGTCATGATGAGAGACACAGAGCAATTTGCGCTAATTTGGCTATTAGTAACGCTAGGGAGAAAAACGCCAATATAAAACCATGAAATAGCCATTCAGAAATGAGGTCATTGCCTCCGTGTCAATCACACTCCTCTGTATCTCTATCGGTAGAGCTGGTATAACCGCCCTTCGGCGTAACACACCAGCTTTGCAGGCAAACGGCACGGCAGCAGCTAGATATATCACACTGAACGACTTGTTACACTCAATCTTTATACATTTAATTGCAGGACTTGTTTAAAGCTTTCTAGTGATGATGCCCCAACTGTGCTTGGTGACAACGAGTTCCACTCTACAATACCCCCCCCCCGGAAAGTCTAAATCGCACGTCTCTCGCCACAAAACGAACCAATGGGCGGGCCGCATTTTGCCACACACACACACACACACACACACACACACACACACACACACACACACACACACACACACACACACACGCACACACTTCAAGCTACACTGGTATGTTTGTAACTATAGAAGTATGGATCATTTTGTTAGAAACGAAACACACCCGTCTTCTAAAGTTGATGATTATGTCCAATTCATGACAAAGTCGGGATAAGGTCTGAATCAGTCTGAACTGCAGCCAGAATTCTGCAAAATTCCCGGAACAAGGGCCAGAATTCTGGGAAGACTTCTGCAGGATTAGGTTAATCCCCAAGGGGTCCTCGATGGCCGCTACACATACATTTTTCTTCAATCATTTTACCTATGTACTATATTAGTCCATCTTGATGTAAGATGAGGTATGGGAGTTAGTCCGGAGTTAAACTAGAATTCCAGAATTAAACAGGAGGCTGTTGCTTTTAATTCATTTTTTACAGCCGTTGGATTCAAATTTCAACGCCGTGGACTAGATGTTTTACGAATGAAAAAGAATGCTGAGGGCTGTTTATCAAACTGTTTCCTTTACAATTCATGCTAAATTCATCAGAACGTGACAAAACCTAATGCATTGTATGTAGTGTTTGAGGCATATAATGGAGGATTCATGCCTCCCACACCCAACCACATATAGGTAACCCAGTGGTTAAGCTAGCGGACACAGTACTAAGAGGTCACGGGTTCAGTTCCCGGCTAGATGTTCTGTCCTTGGGAAAGGTACTTAACATGATTTCACTTAAGCCACAGCAGCGCAGGTATTTTTTTAATGGCTGACATCAGTACGCGCGTTAATTTCGCCCGATTTGGGAGAGAAAAAAAAACAAACAAGAAACTGTTTTGCCTTCTGACGGTGGTCAACATGCCGAAATGGGCAAATATATTGTAAATGTCTACCGGTTCGGAGACCATCAGGCATCCAGCAAACTTGAGGCATTGTTCGCGTTTGATCGCAAATGTTCATATGTTCCATCGCATACAATCCAACCCAGTATAATAGCTGCCCATAAAAGTACGACTATCCGTTTTGCTAGAATTCTAGCTAATTGAGATCTTTGCACATCTACAAGGACAATACAAACGTAAAACTGTTGAATACAAAAATAAAAAATCTGTTGTGATACCATGTTTTGGCACCTTAATTCTTGTTTAACAAGGCCTTAAAATTTGAAAATGGAAGAATCTTGTTTTTTAGGGCTGCCTTGTTTTTTTTCGCCCTATCGCATTAGATTTGGAGTCTGCGGAGGATATCCTCCGTAACATTTACTTGCTTTGGCCTTACTCCATCCAGGTGTTCCTGTTTTATGCACAGCCCATGCACAGCGTCGCAGAACGCCTGCGGAACACGTACACCTAATTGCATCCTGTAAGCCGTAGAGAGCACCAGTCGGACTGAAATGGCAATGTAGCTGTCATTAACGGGCTCCCTTTGGTAAGAAAAACCAATGAGAGCAAAGACTTCTGTCTGAGGACTTTTCACTGCACATTTACTGGGGTTTTACAACTGTTGAGTGTTGTATAGGGATACTAATAGGCCATATACAAGCTGGATACCTGTGTCTGTACATCCCTTCCCACTGTATATCCATTCCCACTTAATTTCCTTTACCTTTTTGCCATTCTAAAGCTACATCTCTCTATATAGTGGTGCGCACGTACTTGGGGTCCCGTTGATGAGTTCAACATGTGTTAAGACACAAATAAAACAGAGACTGAGCCGATTCCTTATATCTGCTTGGAGGTAAGGCCGTGTCATGTTTTCTGTGACCTGTTTATCTGTTCTCGGTGATTCGGAAAGAGACGCGAAGCAGTGCTCTGTCTCCGAGTCAAACACGCCGTACACGTTTCGCACTCGCTTATCACATTCCTTACCTGCAACCCTCTTTTATTTGACGTCTACCAGACTTTGCAAGGACGACAGTGATTGACGCTTCCGTGTGCCAAGAGACTGGGTGTTCCATACTTGGTGCAGTCCCCGCATACGGAATGCCGTCTTGGACACGCAAACTTCCCCCATTGGCTAGAAAGAAGAACAATTTGCATATCAGTGACGTCATGGCCAGTTGTCGCACGTTCTCAGCTTGATATCTCGTTCTAAAACCACGCGAGATCTTGGAAGGCGGTCCCCATGGTATATGAGTGTGTGTATATAATACAGACTTCGCATTGGCTCCTCACCAAGTTGGACGCTGCTGTATTATCCTGTCATTCTTGTCTAGAAGGAACGCACGGGTTTTAGGCAGTGAAGGTAATTTATTTTCATTTTATGTTCTTGACTGATGCCGTCGTAACTGCAGAGTGTAAAACATATGTGTGGGTGAGATGGGGTGTTAACCAAAAAGCTGCGTCTATGAGACATATGAGTCTCCTAAGTCCTATTCCGGCCAGACCATTACATGTATTGACGCATGAGCATCTATCATTCTCTCAACCTACGTGTGTAGCAGTGTTAGGAAGGAACGAGCAACGTGTTAGCTTTTCAATCGCTTGCAGATATATTGAACTGGAAAGAAATTCTCGCGCCAACAGTCTGGTGTTAGAGTTGCCGTGAAAGCCGACCCTGCAGCTAACGCTACTAATCATCTGTGTCTCTGCAAGCATAACTGTTGAGCGACGCTAACCAAATCTGAATTTGCTGTTTTGAGTACCAGGATAGGAAAAGGGAGGAAAGATTTAACGAGAAGACGTCCTGTTTTACCCCTGCACAGTGTACAGACCCTCGTGTGCAAACAGAAGACATATGGCGCAGTCGGGGAAGACGGAAGACCTTTCAATTAACTGTGCTCCGGCGTGAGTCAAAGTGACGAGAGGTGGTTTCAAGAATCCTCGGCATTTCTTAAGGTCAGTCTGCTTATTTACGAGGAGGGTTAATCATTAGTCTTAGGCGCTGTTAGCAAGCATTCTTTTTCAATACCCATTACAGCTGTCATGTGTCCTATAACGCGATGGTCTGTTGGTCTATATCCTTTATTTGCTGAACCAAGGAAGAATAACATGTAGTGTTGGCAGTGAAGTAGAATTAAATAAATAAAAGAAACAAAGCACAGGATGGAACTTGAACTCAGATGAACTTATGGCGCCAACCTATTTCAACAAGTAACGACCAGTAGATTCTTTTAGATAAAAAATGCTGGAAATTGCATGTACTGTGGCAGTGCATGAGGACAGGGTTTTGAATGTAAACATTTGTAGCCGCAAAGTTATGGCATGGCAATCGACACTGTGCGTAGCTTTTGGCTCCAGTGTCAGAAGGCTGCATGAAAAGTTGTATTGAGTGTCACGTAGGTGTGGAAATACGGTTTTGACATTGGGACTCGGGTGTTTTGCTTTCACACTTGTCTGTCGACATGGCTGGTGACATGGAAACGTGGCAAAGCAAACATTTAAAACGCACTGTTGTTCTTTCGCGTTATCTTGACAACAGAAAACACCATTGGGATCAAACCAACGACTACTGCTTTCAGTCAAGTTGAAACCCGTGTTTCTGTCATTTTACATTGCAGAGCCGCAGGGATGATGTGGCGGTGGTAGCTGCCTCTGACTTTCAGCATGGACGGCTTCGACATCGAAAAAACTCGAAAATCTCCTCGAGTCAATTGAGGAAAGCGATTTGCCAACGGTAGACGCAAATTACCACTACAACACTTCTCAAGACTTCAAAACGTACTTATATAACAACTCCGACGACGTCTTTCGCCATTTCTTCAAGTACGAAACTCTGCATATATCCTCGAACGCTCAAGTCACCCTCATTATCGTATTCGGACTCGCTACCTTCCTGTCCCTGGTAGGGAACGCTTGTGTAGTTATCGTGCTGACCTTCGGTTCACAGAAATGGACAGAGCTGAACATATTCCTGGTGAACCTGGCCATCGCGGACTTGACCATGGCGCTCTTCTGCATGCCGTTCACCTTCACGGAGGTCATGCTGCAAGACTGGGTCTTCGGGGACATGATGTGCCCGCTGGTCAGATTCACACAGGTCCTGTCCGTATCGGTCAGCATCTACATCCTGCTGGCTATCGGGATAGACAGATACTACGCAGTCGTCCATCCGCTGAAGATACGGGTGACACGCTCCCGGGCTAAGATGGTGGTGGTGGTGATTTGGATCGTGTCCACGGCCCTGGCGTCCGTACAGCTCGTCGTGTCCAGAACCTATGATTTCTTCTGGGACGGGATTGTCTACGACAGATGCGACGAGATCATGTGGCCGACACCCAAGTGGCAATTGGTGTACACGCTGTCCCTGCTCGGCGTGACCTACGTCATCCCGCTTATCCTGCTGTGCGGGGCTTACATCGGCATCGGGCTGAAGATGTGGGGCAGGCGGGCCCCGGGCAACTCCAACCGCCGATGGGACCAGCAACACGAGCGAGACCAAGAAAAAGGTAATAAGTTCTCGCATTTGCCTTCTCTTAGATTGATTGATTTTTTTTTGAGGGGGAGGTCATGTGGCATAAAGGTAGACTGTTCGGCTCAGATCCAAGAGGTCCCGGGTTCGAATCCTGCCCGATGACACCGATCTTGTGCCCTAGGGAAAGGCACTTTATACGACTTTCCTCACATCACCCAGGTGTAAAATTGATACCTGATTTAGGTTAGGGAGGTAAAAGGGGGTGGAAGAAGAGGGATGAGCGCCGCTTTCCAAATACCGTGCCCTAGACACAGTGGATTAACAACCCACTGCCCCCACGGCCTTAAAATGGCTAAGGTATTACCTTTTACTTTCTCTTAGATTGATTGATTGTTTCAGACAAGATGTATTGTCTGGCACCGTCACCATCTTCCTTACTCTCCAAGCAGAGGTTGGTGAGAAAGAAAAACTTCACACACTTGGAGAAGCATTCAACCACTCGGCGACAAAATAAGATATTTCACAGAAATACATTTCCACTGTTGCTCCTCTGGCAATGCGTCTCTGTCGGGACCCAAAAGACATTCCATAGAGATACTGAAAGCTAATGACAAATCTGTCAACCGTTACTTTGAAAAACTATGAAACGATGGTATAATTTTGCCAGCATCAGAACCTAAAAGTCATAGTTCACCACTCCATCAAAGTTATCACATAATCCACCCGGTGTAAACTACCCCTGCTGAGTTACCGAGGGCTACGCTGTAATTTAGGTGTTTAAGAAAGCTGTATTTCAACTCTTTTTCTCAAAAGAAACTGATGAATATTACTTTCCCCGACAGACTTGGTTTTGTTCTACATCAGTCTTGTCTTATCGCTGTTGTCAGGGGCTCGTGGTATTAAAGGTGAGGAGTAGAAAAGATGACTTCAAAACTCGCATGGTGGTATAATTGTGCGCTTCCCTGGCGAGTATGAGTGGACGAATCTACTGGTACATGATAGCCCTCGCGGCACGGGGAAGCTAATAAGCCTGCACGTTAAGCTGGTACACATTTTTCACTGACAGCACCATTTTTTTTATCAATCCCTACTAGGCTATTTCCTTTTCCGCATTCCATGCGGCGTGTCCTGGAATACTTTGAGGATCTTCCAGCGCGTTTCATATCTTCAGCCAGAAGTTTTTAAATGCATCCAATGCAGTTTTTAGGGCTTGGAAACCAGATTTTTCAAAGTCAATATTCTAGTCACTTATATCTATAGCTACATACTGAGTTGTAACCACACTATCCCACTGTGTAGTGACCCTCATGGAGCAAAAATACCCAATATTCTTACGGAACATGGTTACTGAGGGGCCCTGGGCTGAATTTAGGGTACCACCCAGAAAATAAAGGACTCATTTTGGGGCTTGTTTCTGTAGTTTTAATAGTCAATGTATGAAATACTGATTGAAATGTGCTAATGTGAAGCAGTATATGTCAATGTCATAAAATTGCCTTATTCAGAATGTTTCCAGTTTTGCTGCCCTGAAATCGCATTGGATGCCTTAAATCATCGCCACGAATTGCGCGCCTTTGGAATTTTTTTAAAGAAGACGTACGTCTCTCCTCCCGACGGGTTCTTCATAATCTGAATGGTCTCAAAAGGTGGCTGCAATGATTGCACTGGAACTGAATTCAATAAACATGGCGACGACAACGGGCGGACGGTTAACGTTCCGAAATGAAACTTTTGGCTCCTCGGTGGTTTTTGCAGACACCCTTGAGATTTGACAGACGCAATCGAGGCAATACCTTATTCACGAATCGTGACCATGTTTTTAACGCAGGGACGTGGCGCGTATACTGAGGGTGTTTGTCTATTGGCAATTGCAGAGGAAGACCTTAAACATGTATCAGTATGGCGTCATTAGTCTGTCGTTTGAAGCAGAAAAATACAGCCTCGACCTTTACATTTTCAGACTGTGTTGGCTTAGGGGTTATGGAAAAGTGTTTTTCGCCGTTACAAATGGCAACGCTCTGTGAAACATAGGGCCTGTCAGATAGTGAGTAACTAACTGTGAGAGCCAACTAGGATTGAGGGGAGGGGGTACAGTAGTTTGGTATGTGTAGATATAGTAATACAGAGTGAAATGAAGATTTTCTAATCGGTTTTTAGTCTATAGCCCTAACGATATCAGTTACATGACATAGCAGGTGTTGCCATATCCATCTCATGACTTTTGGTTTATGGTTTATCTAATATGAAAAGTTTCAATGTTGCTGTTCAGCTAGCTATGTTCTGTCGTTCGTTTTGAGTAGTAGTAGTAGTGTAAAGATGTGATGTAAGTATTTGGGGTCGTGTGGCGTAACGGCAGAGCGTTCGGCTCAGAACCAATTCAAGAGGTACCGGGTTTTGAACCCTGCCATGTCACCCATCTTGTGCCCTTGGGAAAGGCACGTGGAGACCTGGCGAACTCCATCTCATATTAGCCACAAAAAGGCAGCAGAATCTTCAGCTAGTTGAAGGCGGCTGTCTCAAAATGAAAGAAGAAAGTATTGGCACTCAGGCGATGACTTTCAAATCATATCGTTACATCATGGATTATGTTCAATGTATGAAGCCTAGCCTGACTAATCGCGCTCCTGGCGGCCGGCCGCCCCGAAGTTGCCGCCCTCATCTTGGGGTGGGTGTCATTAACCTCCGGCCAAGAGCTTGTGTAACACAGGCTGTATGAAGCCATGGATCGTACAAATCCAATTTTGGTGCTTAAAGGTCGCTTAATGGTCTCCATCCAGTGCAGGGCGTGGCGACAACAGTTCAAGACAGGGGGCCAAATTGGATCTAGCATATCGCCTGCATTGCTATAGTCTACACAGCAGCTACGGCGCTGCATTAGAGTAAACCTAATAATATATGTAGCCACAGGTGTGATCACGAGACTTAAAGTAGTTTTTCTGATCTAATAAGAAACCTTTTAGCTTAGAGGATTTTCACGAGAATCTTATGCCTACCGGAACTAGGAAACGACACGGGTGTCTTTTTTCTGCCAACAAAATCTTTGCATGACCAGTTTTTGAAGTGCGCACTTTCTTTCTGGAGACGGTAGGGGTTGAATTACAAATCCTTCTAAGGTGACCTCCGAGTCAGATCTAGGTATTTGCAATGAACCTAGTAGACCCAAATCCCACCAAATGCTTCCCCGGCAAGCCACGTTAACTCCAACTGGAAAAGTACGGTCGATATACAGGCACGACGTATTGCTTTCAGCGGGTCGCTTGCGTCAGTAAACACGTAGATTGATACTTAACTAACTGTTTGGTAAAAGACCGGAGGTACAGACGATATCGTTGTTGACAGGTCTCTTGACATTATGGAATACTTCTGGCCACGAAACGGGTGAAAAATCCGCACGATTCAGGCAGGCCATCTTATACACTTGCCTGCAATGTGGATGTATTACAAACTTTACAAAAGGATAAAAAAGAGAGCAAAAAGCTTAATGCTGGCTAAAAGAACGGATGAATATAATGTTAGCACAACGATTGCAAATAATAATAAAAAAATGGCTTCTAACCTGAAGATTTGAAAATGCTTAGTATAAGGTTTAATTTTTTTACAGGAAGTTAAGAAGGGCTTACACCGGGGGAATAAAAACAGAGACTCAGAACTTAGACGTAAAACTAAGATTAAGTACATGGTGTAGAAGACGTATTTTCATGGTATTGTAAGACCGACGAGTTGCCTTCTACTACTTATAAGATTTGAGATCGGAAAATGCCATCACGTCAATGTATAGTCTGTGCGTCATGTATCCCCGCGGAAATTCTCATGGCTTAAGAACGTTACCGTTAAGTAAATGGCAGAACCATGCGGGACTTTAAGGCTAGTAGTTAACGACATGACCATTAAGGGTACATCAGTCACCATTAAAATAATCCATTAAAATGGGTACCTTAATACTGGCTTCCATAATTACAATCTATGGCCACAGGGAATGCAGTTTACTACAAAAGGGTCGATGATAAAGTTAAATACCTGGAAAAAATACGCTTATATAGATGAATAGGTGCATGGGGCGATCTGATTGCCTATATATGGATATTGGCGCTCCTTTAAAGCATCTGATGTCGACAAGGTGCGTATGTAATGGTGAACGGATTTTCTGTGTTAATGAATGAATGAATGAATGGCGACCATGTTTGCCACACTGGGCTAACTACAGCTGAAAACTATGAACAGATATATACAAATAAAAGTAGCTATCATTAGATAAATTCAACCTCTAGCTTTTCAGTTATAGTAGAGATAAAGAAACAGATATGTTTGTCGATGGAAGTTTTGTCTAGTTGCATTAGGAATATGAACAGTGCTCAAGTGTATGATTTGCTTTTTGGTTTTCTTTTTAATGCCCACGGTCATGGCAATTGTCATTCTGGCATACTCATTTTCACCTGAGTGAAGTGAGAAAAGTCACGTAAAGTGCCTTTCCCGAGGGCACAAGGTTGGTGACTTAGCAGGGTTCGAACCCGGTACCTTTTGGTTCTGAGCCGAATGCTCTGCCATTGCGCCACACGACCCCGTAAGCATGAAGTAAGGAAATGGGTTTTGTACAAACCTATACAGTTCATTTCACTTTTTACTATACAATCTACATTCTATAACAAAGTGACATTTATCCTCTATTCTATTCAAATTGCAGTATTAATCTGTTGATAATTCTGTTGAAGAGGCTGCTTGTGTATGCATTGTAGTGATTTGAACAGTGATACAGTGACGGTATGGCTGCCGCAATAAGAACATGATGCACTAAGTGCTGATATAGGCTGTGTAATGCAACTCTAATCGCATTAATTATAATAAATAAGCAGCACCAATGAATAGAATAACTTGGTACGCGTGTCATTTTCATTGTTACTCACTCTACTCAAAAGTATGTAGTGCCTTTCTATAGACTGAATGCATCCATAGCCTTATCAAAATGAATGTCGCGTGCAATCATACATGGGAACATGGTGAAAACATCTATAGATAAAAGAACCATAATATTACTAGATTTAAAGAAGCGTGAGAGGTCCAGCTGTTCGTCGTGAAAAAAAATGTGCAAAATAATTTGGAAGGCAAGCCTATTTTTGTACTATTTCAGTTTATCTTATCTTATCTTAATTTATTTTATTTTATTTTATTTTATTTTCAGTTCCGTTAAATTCATTTTATTTCATTTTGTTTTGTAAATGGGATGTAAAACAAATCTTGGTTTAATTTTGCCTTTGCAATCAATCATTGACAAATACCACATCCACGTGAAGCACATTTTTAAAATGGACTCGACTTGACAGATTGTTTTGCAGCTCTGTGTGTGGTCTCCACTATGATTATATTCGCTATAAAAACCATCTCATGATTTTAGCGAATTTTACACTAATGTTCTAGGATCGTACTGCTTTTAACAGTTAAAATCCCCAGCCATCTAAAAATCCGTAGCGTATTACTTTGTTCCATCTATAACCAGCGGGTAAGTGCATATAATCTGCCAGTCGCGTGTAGCTAAACATTAAATTCTCTCGGGTAACCTCATGGATATAGCAAAATCACACACATCTATATTAATACCGGTATGCGTGCGTGATGATAACATTTAAACACCATGATCATGATACCTCGAAACATAACTGACATAAGGATGGAAGATATTCAAGTCGGAGAGACGGGTATTAATAATTAATATCTTCATAAAACGTTATGGTTATCATCGAAACAACTATAATGATACGCTTTGTGACTGCGCTTATAGCACGGTGTTCTGCATTATTTTTAGTCGTTATCTCTGCAATTATGTGACATATCGTCGGAGATTTTCTTTCTACATAGTCGTTTTGTGTACGACTTTGGCATGCCATGTTTTAAAATATGGAGGAATTGTACATCAATACAACA